CTGATTTAGATGAGATGACTTTTTCACTGGAGAAAGCAATATTATGGATAGAGGACTTCACAAGACATTTATTGATGGACTGGTGTCATGTGGATTATTGTAATGTTTTTTTCAGCTCTTTGAACTCTCATTCTGACGGCACCCATTCACTGCAGAGGATCCACTAGTGGAGTATATTTTCTGCAAATTTTCATTTTTGGGTGAACGATTCCTTTGACAAACAAACAAACAAAAATAACACAGATTGAAGTTTTAAATTATTTTATGTCCTTTTTTAAAATCTTATAACACTCTAGCTTCTGTACTATAACCACCATTATTCCACAAAATGCAATCTTGATATGCCATACTGACATAAGGAGAACACTTCAAGGTAAAGGCTTGAATGATTTGACTATAAATGAACAAAAACTCTGTCTCTTTGAAGTCACGGATACCATTTTTAGAAGAGACGATCGAATCACGCATCTGATGTTCCCTGGCTTGAGCTTTATGGATGGCCCATTTCGATCAGGGCTGTTAATCACAGCAGGTCAAATTATCATGCATAAAATTAAGGTTTTATTGCCACTAAGGGACAAAGAGAGTAAATTAAGTTTCAAACCAAGTTAAGTGCGTAGAATAACTCTCTGGCGACTGGGTGGTGATCATGTATTCCACAACGACAAAAGCATTTTGTAATAAATACTGCAATCAAAATTCAAGCAAATAATTCTTCTGTTGTCTTTCAGAAGGATAGTCTAGGAGCAAACAACACAGCTGGTTAGATAATGAGCACTCTTAATGAAAATTGGATGGCCATATTTCCGTGAGTCTCAATATTTTTAATCTGGCTTTAGTATCTTGTTTTGTTTGGAGTTCACAGCACTGAATGCAAAGACCTTTACATCATTAGATTAAAAAAACAACAAAAAAACAATCACTACACTCAATAGCTCTGAGATTTTAATTTGCAATCCATATGACATGTAGTTAAAAAAAGGCCCAAAAACACAGGAATTAGAAACCAGGCTTTAGTTGGTATAATTCAGAGAATTTCAATAAAAAAAAAATTATAAAAATTTGGGCCTTAGAAAAAAAAACAAAAAAACACCCACACCATTTACTCAACCACCAATGAGAGGAATAAACATTTAAACAAAAAATGCAAGAAATCTAATCAGTGTTTCTCATCCACAAAATAGTCTGTGTGTGCGCGCAATAGAGGAGACTGCAAAAGCACACGAAAACATGTGAAATTAACATTTTTTTCACTGAAATGAAAATCAACCATGGTTTTACCACAAAACCAAAAATCCATGGTTACTATAGTTAAACCATGGGAACCACAAATTTACCTAGGTTTTGCTACACTAACCATATTTTAACCATGGTATTTGTAGTAAAACTGGTTATACAAATGGTAATCAATACGGAAAAAAAAAACCTTACAATAAAACCCATGCGTGGCAAAGTGGTCAGGTAGGGGAAGTTACCCATCACAACGTACACAAAATAGACTATGCCACCCAGAATATACCGGGACACAAAAGCCCTATGCAAGGGCACACAGGTTCGTTGCCAAAGGCAGGGTGAGCATGGAGACATGGACAAGGTATAACAATTTAGCGGTTTATTTATATACACAAATGAGACATTACATTTAACATTTGTTTTTGTACACAAGATCACTTAAAGTCTTTACTTAAAAATCACAAACCAAATACACAAATCTACCAGTTACAGAAATAACCAGTAGGAGAGAAATGGCCAGCGGGGACCTTTTGGATTTTCACCTTACACCATACCCAGACCACACAGTTGTGAAAGCAATACAATTGGTTAAGCACCACACTCCATGTGGACACGCTAAAAGACTGCAACCCCCGCTTTAAAAGTTTCTACTCCTAAATGACAAAACAGTTAACTAGTACAAACGTCAAAACAATAAACACCCAAAAATACAAAATTCTCACTTTCATACCACAACAGAACAATCTACTCTAAAAGGAGTCCACACACAGATATTCAACTACTACTTGTACAATCAATGAAAATGAAAAACAAAAACAAAAAACTAAAATAAAAATGAGCAGTCATATACACCAACGGGAGAAACAAAATGGCAGACCAAGGCCAAATATATCTTACTTGCCTCCCAGCTAACTCAAATGTTAATGAATGGCTGCTCATGAATGAATAAAAGAAAAAGAAAAAACCCATACAAACAATTAACCAAAATAAGACCAAGACAGACGAAGTTAAAACGGTCACCCAACAAACACTAAAACCAAAGCAGCAGTGCAGTCACATCGCTGATGTACATTCGTCTCCAACCAAGTTACTAGAAACCCCTGGATGTGCAATTACATCTGCTGAACATAAAACAAGAAATTATCTACAATGATACACTCATTAAAACACATGATAAACTCCCATCATACCTACAGAGAGAGATTTACCATCTAGCAATATGCATGGTCGCTCACCACGCATGACCACGGCCACTAGCATGCTGATGACCAAAAAAAGACAAACAAATAAAGTCTCTCCTTGCAGTAAATGACGAAATCCTTTTTGACACTGGAGACTAACCTGAAAAAGGCCTAACTGCTCAAACACAACAACAGGAGGATGCACCAACCCCTATCCCTTGTTCATAATGACGTACTTCCACAAGGGTTCAGTACCAAGAATGATGCATCCTGAGCAATCAAACCCTTCCCTTTTTGTATTCTCAATGCCAACACTGATAGGTTCATATGACTTAAACCATAACCAATCACAAAGGAGTAGGAGCACTGATTGGTTCACAGGCTGGCATGACATCAGCCAATCATACCTGGGCTATTCCTTACCCAGCTATACATGGTTAAAGGGTTAATTCACCCAAAAATGAAAATTGCCTTGTGTTTTACTCACCCTCGAAGCATCCTAGGTGTATATGACTTTCTTCTTTCAGACGAATCCAGTCGGAGTTATTTTAAAAATTGTCCTGGCTATTCCAAGCTCTATCATTGCAGTCTGCGGGTGTTGCAGCTGAACAGTCCACGAGTCATCAAATAAATCTAGCGCATTCATAATAAAACGTGACGCAGATGGCTCCGGGGGATGAATAAAGGCCTCCTGTAGCAAATCCATGTGTTTTTGTAAGAAAAATTTCCATATTTCAAACATAATAAACTTTTATATCACTTCCGCCAACTGTCATACGCGGAAGCCATTCCGGCGGATGATGTAGCACGTCGCCGTTGCGTGATCAGTGACAAACACGGAGAGACAACAAAACAAAACGCCGGTCACGAATTAGAAGTACAAACCGAAGATTTGCAAAGAAAAATGTCGGAGGATTTCGATATAAGCCAAGAGGAGACTGGTTTTCCTTTGCTAAAGTAAGATGAAGAGCTAAAAGCTAAAAGATCAGTTCAGATGCGAAAGTCTCTAAGTGCTGTCTGAAATTTTCATCTAAAATGAGCATTTTTATCAAGCTCCTATATTTATGTTAAATTATTTAACTTTAATGTCATAGAAAAGGACCTATACATTGCCATTAAAGTAAAATTACTGAACCTAAACATAGGAGTCTGATAAAAATGCTAATTTTAGAAGAAAATTTCAGATGGCACTTAGAGGCTTTTGCATCTGAACTCTTCATATATATATACTTTATTTAGCAAGAGTGAATTAAATGAATCAAAACCGATAGTAAAGACATTTATAATTCTACATTTTTAATAAATTCTAACTTTACAACTTTCTATTAATGAAAGAAAAAAAGAAGAAAAAAAAAAACACGGTTAACCATGGGCATAGTTTGGATGCCTTTGTAAATAAATTAATAAATAAAATCAAACTTACTAATGGCTTCCCCAATCTCATTTGCATGAGAAGTTATCACATGACGAATCTGCATTCTGGCGGATAATAGCCTATGTTATATACTGCTTGCCTGTTGCATTAGCTTTAGTTGGTATAATTCAGAGAATTTCAATAAAAAAAAAATTATAAAAATTTGGGCCTTAGAAAAAAAAACAAAAAAACACCCACACCATTTACTCAACCACCAATGAGAGGAATAAACATTTAAACAAAAAATGCAAGAAATCTAATCAGTGTTTCTCATCCACAAAATAGTCTGTGTGTGCGCGCAATAGAGGAGACTGCAAAAGCACACGAAAACATGTGAAATTAACATTTTTTTCACTGAAATGAAAATCAACCATGGTTTTACCACAAAACCAAAAATCCATGGTTACTATAGTTAAACCATGGGAACCACAAATTTACCTAGGTTTTGCTACACTAACCATATTTTAACCATGGTATTTGTAGTAAAACTGGTTATACAAATGGTAATCAATACGGAAAAAAAAAACCTTACAATAAAACCCATGCGTGGCAAAGTGGTCAGGTAGGGGAAGTTACCCATCACAACGTACACAAAATAGACTATGCCACCCAGAATATACCGGGACACAAAAGCCCTATGCAAGGGCACACAGGTTCGTTGCCAAAGGCAGGGTGAGCATGGAGACATGGACAAGGTATAACAATTTAGCGGTTTATTTATATACACAAATGAGACATTACATTTAACATTTGTTTTTGTACACAAGATCACTTAAAGTCTTTACTTAAAAATCACAAACCAAATACACAAATCTACCAGTTACAGAAATAACCAGTAGGAGAGAAATGGCCAGCGGGGACCTTTTGGATTTTCACCTTACACCATACCCAGACCACACAGTTGTGAAAGCAATACAATTGGTTAAGCACCACACTCCATGTGGACACGCTAAAAGACTGCAACCCCCGCTTTAAAAGTTTCTACTCCTAAATGACAAAACAGTTAACTAGTACAAACGTCAAAACAATAAACACCCAAAAATACAAAATTCTCACTTTCATACCACAACAGAACAATCTACTCTAAAAGGAGTCCACACACAGATATTCAACTACTACTTGTACAATCAATGAAAATGAAAAACAAAAACAAAAAACTAAAATAAAAATGAGCAGTCATATACACCAACGGGAGAAACAAAATGGCAGACCAAGGCCAAATATATCTTACTTGCCTCCCAGCTAACTCAAATGTTAATGAATGGCTGCTCATGAATGAATAAAAGAAAAAGAAAAAACCCATACAAACAATTAACCAAAATAAGACCAAGACAGACGAAGTTAAAACGGTCACCCAACAAACACTAAAACCAAAGCAGCAGTGCAGTCACATCGCTGATGTACATTCGTCTCCAACCAAGTTACTAGAAACCCCTGGATGTGCAATTACATCTGCTGAACATAAAACAAGAAATTATCTACAATGATACACTCATTAAAACACATGATAAACTCCCATCATACCTACAGAGAGAGATTTACCATCTAGCAATATGCATGGTCGCTCACCACGCATGACCACGGCCACTAGCATGCTGATGACCAAAAAAAGACAAACAAATAAAGTCTCTCCTTGCAGTAAATGACGAAATCCTTTTTGACACTGGAGACTAACCTGAAAAAGGCCTAACTGCTCAAACACAACAACAGGAGGATGCACCAACCCCTATCCCTTGTTCATAATGACGTACTTCCACAAGGGTTCAGTACCAAGAATGATGCATCCTGAGCAATCAAACCCTTCCCTTTTTGTATTCTCAATGCCAACACTGATAGGTTCATATGACTTAAACCATAACCAATCACAAAGGAGTAGGAGCACTGATTGGTTCACAGGCTGGCATGACATCAGCCAATCATACCTGGGCTATTCCTTACCCAGCTATACATGGTTAAAGGGTTAATTCACCCAAAAATGAAAATTGCCTTGTGTTTTACTCACCTTCGAAGCATCCTAGGTGTATATGACTTTCTTCTTTCAGACGAATCCAGTCAGAGTTATTTTAAAAATTGTCCTGGCTATTCCAAGCTCTATCATTGCAGTCAACGGGTGTTGCAGTTGAACAGTCCACAAGTCGTCAAATAAAGCGTGCGCATTCATAATAAAACGTGCTTCACACGGCTCCAGGGGGTGAATAAAGGCCTCCTGTAGCAAATCCATGTGTTTTTGTAAGAAAAATTTCCATATTTCAAACATAATAAACTTTTATATCACTTCCGCCAACTGTCATACGCGGAAGCCATTCCGGCGGATGATGTAGCACGTCGCCGTTGCGTGATCAGTGACAAACACGGAGAGACAACAAAACAAAACGCCGGTCACGAATTAGAAGTACAAACCGAAGATTTGCAAAGAAAAATGTCGGAGGATTTCGATATAAGCCAAGAGGAGACTGGTTTTCCTTTGCTAAAGTAAGATGAAGAGCTAAAAGCTAAAAGATCAGTTCAGATGCGAAAGTCTCTAAGTGCTGTCTGAAATTTTCATCTAAAATGAGCATTTTTATCAAGCTCCTATATTTATGTTAAATTATTTAACTTTAATGTCATAGAAAAGGACCTATACATTGCCATTAAAGTAAAATTACTGAACCTAAACATAGGAGTCTGATAAAAATGCTAATTTTAGAAGAAAATTTCAGATGGCACTTAGAGGCTTTTGCATCTGAACTCTTCATATATATATACTTTATTTAGCAAGAGTGAATTAAATGAATCAAAACCGATAGTAAAGACATTTATAATTCTACATTTTTAATAAATTCTAACTTTACAACTTTCTATTAATGAAAGAAAAAAAGAAGAAAAAAAAAAACACGGTTAACCATGGGCATAGTTTGGATGCCTTTGTAAATAAATTAATAAATAAAATCAAACTTACTAATGGCTTCCCCAATCTCATTTGCATGAGAAGTTATCACATGACGAATCTGCATTCTGGCGGATAATAGCCTATGTTATATACTGCTTGCCTGTTGCATTAGCATTTTTTACAACATACAACAACTGCAGAGGAATCTGGGCCTAAACAAAAAAACAGTAGAGAGTGCAGCCTTTACAAGTAATTTGCGTGCAATGCATCTGGTTGCCATGGCAACCTCAAGCAGATTATGAATCTGTAAATTTACTATAGAAATGCTAAAATTTATTTAAAAGTTTGACTGACCAAATCGACTAGCTTGGTTTAGGATAGGATAGGATAGGATAAACTTTATTAATCCCCGCAGGGAAATTGGTTTGCATGAGCAGCCAAAACATAAACCATACAACACAAAATAAATACAATAGATAAAAATAAATAATAAATACAGGTAAAACAGGTAATTTCCCTTCAGATTTTAGGATAAAATAAGGTATACAGTTAAAGATATAAAATAAATGTAACTATCTAGCTCACTAGAAGTTCAAAGGTGCCTCTGTATCCGAGAGATGTGTTATACAGTCTAACTGCAGTAGGTACAAAAGACCTTCTATACCGTTCACTATTGCACTGAGGCAAGATCAGCCTCCAACTAAAATGACTCCTTAATGCAACAAGCATGTCATTTAGAGGGTGAGTGGTGTTATCCATAATGACTAGCAATTTGTGCATCATTCTCTTCTCAGCAACCACCTCCAGAGGGACCAGATCCTGTCCAATGACAGAACTCGCTTTTTTGATGAGTTTATTCAGCCGTTTAGCATCACCCCCTTTCATACCAGTGCCCCAACACACCACAGCGTAAAACAGAGAACTGGCAACCACAGACTGATAAAACATATTAAGCATTTTACTACATACATTGAAGGACTTAAGTCTCCGCAGAAAATACAGTTGACTTTGTAGGAGGTATTTGTAGGAGTCCACAACCTCCACATTACAGCCAGTTATACAGACGGGGTAAGTTGTGTCTTTTTCCTCCTGAAGTCAATTACCAATTATTTTGTTTTTGTAACATTTAGCTGTAGATTCCAGATTTTCAAATAGTTGTATCTCGGCTAGGGATATGCCGGTATCAAATTTTCATGTTGCGATTAATTGCTAATGCTTTTATCACGGTATACGGTATTATCACGATATTGAAATTTTGTTTAAAAATAGGGGATTACCCGTAGGGAATCAAGCCATATGGACACCTAGCCCAGTACAGGGGCTGGCCGGGACACCAGGCAAGCTAACACCAGTACTGGGTCTGGCGTCAGACTGCTCCGCCAAGTCTGACTGCCAGGGGTGCTGGAGGATGCTCGACCAGGGTTCGCCAACCGGGGAACTCTACTGGGAGAAGAAAGGCACTCGCATCCCCATGTGAGGGGGAATGGCACAGCAAACGTGACACCGAGCCAGATCTTCCCGCCAATTACCTGTTACCCAGCACACGGAAAGAAACCGGCTCTACACGAAGGTTGTAAAACCTCGCGAAGGTGTTAGGTGTCACCCAGCCCGCAGCTCGACAGATGTCTGCCAGAGAAGCGCCGTGCGCCAGCGCCCAGGAGGAGGCAACACTCCGAGTGGAGTGGGCTCTCACCCCCCGGGGGCACGGCTCGCCTTGGGATTGGTACGCCAAGGCGATGGCCTTCACTATCCAGTGGGCCAACCTCTGCTTGGAGACAGCCTTTCCTTTCTGCTGACCTCCAAAGCAGACATGGAGCTGCTCAGAGCTTCTAAAGCTCTGGGTGCGGTTCACGTATATGCGTAACGCTCTTACGGGACACAGCAACGCCAAGGCTGGATCTGCCTCCTCTGGGGGCAGCGCTTGCAGGTTCACCACCTGATCTCGGAAGGGAGTGGTGGGAACCTTGGGCACGTATCTCAGGACAACGTGAGAGTAGGCCGGCCCGAACACAAGGCACTCTTCACTTACCGAAAATGCTTGGAGGTCCCCGACCCTCTTGATGGAAGTGAGCGCGATCAGGAGCGCTGTCTTAAGAGACAGGAACTTTAACTCAACTGAATCAAGCGGCTCAAAGGGACCCATCTGAAATCCAGCAAGGACAATAGAGAGATCCCAGGAGGGTTTCAGGGGTGTCCAAGGAGGATTCAACTTTCTGGCACCCCTTCTGGAACCTAACGATCAGGTCATGCTTTCCCAGGGACCGGCCGTCCACTGCATTGTGATATGCTGCGATAGCAGTGACATACACTTTCAAGGTGGAGGGTGACAGCCTACGTTCCAACCTATCTTGCAGGAAAGAAAGCACGACTATAATCGAGCATCTCCGGGGGTCTTTGGTGAGAATAACACCAATTCGTGAACAGACTCCACTTCAAAGCATAGGCATTCCTCATAGAGGGAGCTCTAGCCTGAGTGATAGTGTCTACCACCACTGGTGGTAAGTCACTTAGGTCTGCCGCGTCCCGTCCAGAAGCCACACATGGAGGTTCCAGAGATCTGAACATGGGTGCCATATGGTGCCCAGCCCCTGAGAAAGGAGGTCCCTCCCCAGGGGGATGCGCCAGGGAGGGGCTGTCACGAAGAGCATGAGTTCCGAAAACCAGGTCCGGGTGGGCCAGTAAGGCGCAACCAGCAGGACCTGTTCCTCGTCCTCCCTGACCTTGCAGGGTCTGTGCAAGCAGGCTCACTGGGGGAAACGCATACTTGAGTAGAGCCCAAGGCCAGCTGTGTGCCAGTGCATCCGTGCCCAGGGGGGCCTGGGTCAGGGGATAGTACTGTGTCAACATCTTGAATGGGAGCTTGTGAAGGGCCCGATTCAAGACTCGCAGATCCAAGATAGGTCGAAGGCCACCGCTTTTCTTGGGTACGATGAAGTAAGGGCTGAAAAACCCCTACCTCATCTCAGCTGGAGGGACCGGCTCGATTGCATCCTTCGCCAACAGGACAGCAATCTCCTCGCGCAAGACAGAGGCGTCTCGGACTGCCATCGAAGTCTCGAGAATGCCATTGAACTTGGGAGGTTGCCTGGCAAACTGAATCGAGTAGCCGAGTCGAACCGTCCGAATGAACCAGCGGGATAGGTTGGGTAGCGCAAGCCACGGTCCCAAACTCCGTACGAGTTGCACCAAAGGGACAGATGACGTACCTGCAATGGTGCAGCGATGGGGAGTTGTGCTGGGTGGCCCAGAAGGCATCGTGTTCTGAGTCATCGCAGCAAAACTCCCCGTGCCCCCGGAGGGACTGGCCAGAGAAGCTTGGAGAGGCGTTGCATATCCGAACCGCGATCTCTTGGCCACTGGCGATAGGGGGCGTCGTGGGTGAGGATGAGGAAGCAGTGCGTCGCTCACTGTCGACCCACGAGCCTTGCAACCCGGAGGAAAAGGAAACTGCTCTTTCTTTGATAATGTGGTTACCTCTGGCCGAACAGAAAAAAGAAACACAAGATTCTCCGCCCGGCCCTCCTCCGGGGGAAGGAGCGTCACTGTCTTCGCCACCTCCTGAAGAGCAGTCTCCCACATCTCCGGGTTGCCCGTGTCAGGGCCGCTTCGTCATCTTTCTTGAGGATTTAGTGGCCGCCTGCGACACGGGGGGCGCCGCTCTCCTGCGTTTAAAAAGATGCGAATCGTCCGTGATTTGCTCTTTTAGGAAATCTGCTCTTTTAGTTGAAGCGCCCAGGGGAATCGCTGAAAGGGACACCGCTGTTCGCGCCGTACCGCCAACCAGAACGGCTTCCCGACACACAGCAGATGAATGGCTTTGTGGAGTATAACAGCTTTTCATACAACCACTCGGCTCCAAAGCAAAAATCTAATAAGTGGATGAACGCTGTCGCCTTA